GTTTGTAAAAAACGAATCCGCCTCAACAATATAGAACTTATGCATATCTATCTTATTGTCACTCTGTATTTTTCCATGGTTACCGGAATTTTTAATAATTACGAAGCAACAGGTTTTTACATGATGTTAATTAGCCAAATTACCTTGAGGAACATTGTTGCCATCCTTCTGATTTTTGAGTTTGAGTTTTTTTGCAAATATCTCAGTCTTTAATAACAATTAATTTTTTTACTACTTTTCCTGTACTCCTAAAACACCCCCAGAGGAATGACGCAAATGTTGAATCACCCTGTATTAAAATTGGCTAATTGAAGTAAAAGTTAGAATACTTTTTAGGAGAAAAGTTAGAAATTTACCAATAAAGCGCAACTTTTCTTGGAACTGAGGGTTTAAAGCCCTTTCATACGATTTATCATATTTTTCTCTATATAAGTTAAGTTTGTTTATCTATACCTACGTAAAATCTTTGTACTAACCATCAATAACAGGATTGCACCATTTCAATATCAATCTCGAAATCACTATAGGTGACGATATCCGTTCATCGAGAATTAATTTGCACAAACCCTCTGTTGCCTTTAGTTGAACCTCGTAAACCTGAAAGAGAGCTAAATTATTAAATCATGTTTAAACGCAATTGAAATAGAGGACCTGATAGAAAAGCTGTTCTAATTAGTGAACTAATTAGGTATTAAATTGAGGTGGTTGGAAACTTGAAATACATTTCTAATCTGGAGGAAACCACATATCAGAAGTACATCCTCTTCAAGAGGCTAAAATAAAGTAGTTATTTAGTTAAGGGGACAGAAAGGCAGATGTTCCTATTTTGCGTATATGTATGCAAGGTGTTTCATGAGGGTATATTTTACCACGTATTCTACGTCCGAAAATAACTAGTTTGCTAAAGATATCCGGAAATAACCGAAATTCGAAAAATTAGTTTTTGTTTTTTCCTTAGCTTATTTGGCGCGGAAATTTAAGATGAATAATACTTCATCATTGGAACTTTTTCTCTCCTACGTAGCGATGTTGTATTTAAAATCCGACTTATGGATTCTAGACAATCATCCTCAACTTTGTTTTTTATGATGGCCGATTTTTGGCTTTTTACATGTTTGAATTAAGCTTTTTTTCTAATTACGATGATGCATCACATGTTAACAAGAACAAAGAGAAGCAGAGGCAGCCCATGCTAAGATGGTGAGACGAGATACAGAAACTAGCGGGAAAGAACTGGATGCTCCCAGCAGGGGCGGATCCAGTTTTAAAGTCAGAAGGGGTTTTGTAGAAAAAATACAGTCTTCTGTTATCTATGAAATTAGAAAAATGATCGTCGTTTCGTGCAAGGGTGGCGCAAGAT